GTAACTACAGACCTTGTTCCAAAGGACAATGTCATGTAACTGTTACACAAATGCCATGTGACCTGCCAGTCATGCTGGTATGACACAGGTTACAGGTATCTTATTCCAACCAATTGCGAGAGACAGTTAACCATAACACAGAAAGGATTTTCAAATTTTCCATCGACACTGAGATTTGAACTCTGGACCTGCCACTTGGGGGTTGACAACTTGACCACTTCACTAGGTCACCACACCCCTAAAAAAGGACCATTTAGTATATTTTTTAAATGAATGTTTTTATTATTTAATAAATAACATCTATCTAGTCAATTGACCAGATAGATTTTTTAATATGTAATATTTGTAATGAATTTACCCAAAGAGATTTTATTAAAAATATTTTTCTTTTGTTTATCTAAAAATATTTTTATAGATAATGAAAATTATTATCGTCTCAAATATGTTTGTCATTTATAGTGTCATCTTTGCTTAGCAATTTATAAAGAATATGAAATAAAATATTATTTAGTAGAAAAAGATCTACTTCTTCGTGAACCTCCTATCTTTCATTCTTTTTACACAAAATATGAAAATAATATAATTTATTTATGTTTCAACAAAGAAGAATATGTGATAAATTCATCTATCAAAGAGATTTTATTTAATTCTCGTTTTCATTTAATTGAAAAACATATATTACCATTTTTTGAACAAAGTCTTTGTAATTGTTGTAAATTATTTGAGTATTGTGAGAAAAGTGATTATTTATTCGATCTTGATTATGATTGCCAATCTGTTTTTTGTACAGCACAAGAGAAACTAGTTCCTAGTTTACTAAAATATTTAAATCAAATATATGTATATCATATTCATAATACTTGTTCTTCATGTCATGAAATATGTTTATTTTTTTTAAATAAATATGTTAGAAATAGCATTGATAATTTTGGTGATACTTCATTTCTTAGATCTTTGAGATTTGGTTTTAGTATTGAAGATATGGTTTGATTAGCTTTATTTTCTTAGAAATAAAAATATATCTATCTAGTTTACAAAACCAAATAGATTTTTTTGTATACAACTCAAAATGTACAATCATTCAGAATTAATAGAACCTCTTGATACAAACAAATTTTACATATATGATGCGATAGATTCAACAACATTCAACCAAAAATATATATTATCATTATTAACAGTTCATTTAGATGGAACCAAATTCACAATAAATATATCAATCGATTTAGTTTTTTTGATATCAAGTTACATTCAGAAGATGATTTAAAAAAAATATGATAATGAATTTGAACCATAAAGTTATGAAAAAATATATAGACAACCATTCGATTCAACAGAGAAATTCATGTTTTTACGATTACATTACAACACTTTAAAAAAAAGAAAAAAAGCATTGAAAAAGATTGAAACTAAAAGAAATGAAATTCCTCTTGAAGGACTAGAAGAATTTGATTAATACTATGATACATATTCAGACAATCAAACATGCTACTACAGAACAGTTGCATATGAGAACAATTTTGAATTAGTAAGATAGTATGAAATAAATGCTTCAAGAATGTTCAACATGTTAATTACATTTAAAGATATCAAAAAAATTGATTATTTTGAGGAACCAAAGCTCTTATTACTCTACTGGGATATTGAAACATCATCATCAAGAGGTCTAGGTTTTTTTCCTGTAGGTGAAAAAGAAAATGATTATGTATACATAATCCAATTTGATATTGTATTTTACAATAAATCGATATCTCGAAAGAGATTTTGTTTATCAACTATTCCTATAAACAGCCAAAAATTTCATTCAAAATATAACTCAACAGAATTAATATTCATTGAGCTGCAAACTCAAGAACAGCTCTTATTAAAATTTGCAGAATTAGTTGGAAATTATGAACCGGAATTTGAGATTAGTTACAATACAAGCCAATTTGATTGGAACTTCATACTCAAAAAAGCCAGACTGTTGAATATAGATGATGAATTTATTAGACTGTTAACTAAAACTAAAACAACTTTTCAGTTCAATATACAACAAGCGACAGTACGAGTTGTTGATTGTGACATTGATAAAGATAATTTGAAATATGAATTTGCCGGAATCAATATGAACAATCGAAAGATCAAGATATCTCCAAATGAGACTATGAAATGTGAATTCATGTGAATTCCATGAACAGTATTTCTTGATTTTCTGGTCTGGGCCAAGAAAACATTTCAAACAAAGATAACCAATACTCTTGATGCAGTATTGAAATGTTGTGGACTTTCAGGAAAAATCGATTTACCATATGTGCCTACAAAAAACAGCACAGATTTATGATGCATGTTTGTTTATATAAATGTGATAAAGTTTAAAAACAACAAACAGATGTTAGAAAAATTATCCGATCAGCTGTCAAAATTAATAAACATTCCTTTTTCTAATTGTTTGAATGCATTTCAAGTTTCAGAATCAATGTTGGAAGATTATGTGATAGAACTAGCATATTATTGTTCAGTTGATACATTATGTTTACATAAATTGAACTTAAAGCGAAACATAATCAGTGATTATGTACAAAGAGCCAGAATCGCATATGTAACAATATCTAAATGTTTGATACGAAATTTGCTTAGCAGATATGCATCACCTAAAAAGATTTTAGTATCATCACGACGCAAGAGAATTGTTGAACAAGGAATGTATGATGGAGGTCTAGTCATTACACCAATTAAGAACATTAAAAGACCTGTGGCAGATGTTGATTTTACTTCATATTACCCCCATGCTATTATACAAAACAACATATCTCTTGAAAAACATGTATCAAAAGATTCAACTAATCCTCATTTAAATGTCGTAATTGACAATGATATTGTTTATGGTAAATTTTTACCACATGACAATGATATAAACAATATAGATATTATGGCTCTTATATGTAAAGAATTATTAGAAAAATGAAACGATGTGAAGCAAAAAATGAAATTGTATAAAAATGATAAAACAAAACTTCTATACTACACTTCATTATCAAATGCATTAAAAATATTTGCAAACTTAGTATATAGTAAGACAGGTTATAGATATTCACTATTATATCATAAGGAAGTTGCTTCATCAGTTACAGCATTTTGCTGAGCAACATTAAAGATCATGATTGATTTTGTGAGAGAACAAGGATTTATAGTAGTTTATGGAGACACAGATTCTATATTTTATTCATTGCCAGAATCATATTTTACAGAACTTGATACTAAGTACTCTGATGAATTATTATCAAAAAAAGAATATTGGGAGGAACAGATCAAATTAACAATATTATACTCGAAGATACTAGAAAAAAATATTAATGAATACTTGAAACAAATTATAAAATCTACATACTTGAAGATGGCCTATGAAAAAACAATGTATCCCTTTTTAATTTTTGGAAAAAAAACATTATGTCGCAATCACTTATTCAGATGTTCCAAATTTAAACAATTTAAATTTATTATTAAAAGGTCTCAAAACCATCAAACATAATATGCCAGAGTTTTACAAACTAGTAGCAAAAGAATTAATATATTCTTCACTTGGATTCAATAAAGATTTCTCTATCAGACAAGAAGAAATAGACCAAAAAGAATTAGTCATACAGATAATTACTAACTATGTCAATAAAAAAGAAACACTATTAGACTTGTTTGTTCTTACAGCAAAGTTTGATTTAACATATGCTTCAGTATTAGCAGTCAATTTTGTAAAATTATTAAACAAAGATCTGACAAAAGAAGAATGAGATGAAATATTTAAGCAAATTTCAAAATCTGATACAAAAAAAAGAAACAAGATGGTTAATAGTTTTATTGCTAGATTGAAATACCCTATTGAACCAGGATGATTTTACTATTATGTAAAATTTCTATCAAGTGTATCAAGTGTTTCATATAAGATAATTTTAATTGACCATTATGATCCAAAGAAAGATACTATTGATATTGTATACTATTTTTATAGCTTATGAGACATTGTGGCTCATCTTTTAGGCTATAAAGAGAAGCAAGCTATTAAAAAAATAAAGGAAATATTCGATGCTGAGGAACTTAAAAAACAACGAATAATAACAGAATTTTTTGTTGAAGATAACCAACAAAAGATAACTGAGTTTGTTAAAACAATACCTAATACATTAAAATGAAAACCAACTGAAGAATTACACAAACAGGAAAATAATAAAAAACAAAAAACTCAATCGAAACTAGACAAATTTTATTACTCTGATATACCACGTAAACATAAATTACAAGCTGACGAACAACTAGAATCAAGTAAATGAAAACTTATATAAAAGTAAAAAAAATTCTTTTTCTTTTAATTTTAACAAGATGCAATACCAATTATTTGATAACAACCAGATCAAAATTATGGATTATGTTGAGATCACAAAACTTTATATGAAGATGCAAAGATCTTCTTCACTAATAAACTTTCTAACAAAAAACAAGTTTGATATTGACAAATTCAATGATTTTGTATTATTGACAGAAAAATGTGACCAACTGAAATTCTCTTCTCAACTTTACAACCTATTAATTGAACCAATAATCGATTTAAAGATGATAATTATAACAGAATTAATTTATTACAATGATCTTACTTTTGTAAAAGAACATGTATTCTATTAGTAAATTTATATAAATATATCATAGATGCAATTAGCACTTCACAACTTCATCTGTTCAGTACAATGTATTGAACAGAATTTTATTTACATAATCATGCCTCGAGAAAAACACAAACACAAAAAAATCAATCCATATTCTATAAAGAATTTTAAAAATAAAAGACTATTAATTTATTTACCAAACTAAATACTTCATATAATATTTTTGCTGTTTTTACATATTGTGTAGTATATTCTTATAATTTTCCAACTCATTGTAAATCAGAATGTAAAGATGCTTTACGTGAAAAAATCAGACCTATGGTTGTTGGAAATCATTATTTATCATATTGTATAAAAATTTGCAAAGATTGTAATGAATATTTCAATAATCTCTATAATAAAAATGATAAATTTTTAGAGACAGAAAATTTTACTATATTAGATTATTGGAACAGAATAAGAAATTTAAGAAATTTTGTTTAATATTCTTTAATAAATAATCTGTTCAGTTCTACCGAGCAGAGATTTATTCATGTAATTTAATATGAAACTAATATTTCAAAAAAGCAAAGAAAAAAGAAAATATCATAGACATAAACTTGATCCATATTTTATTAATGACACTCGACATCTCATTTCATTACCTTATGATATACATCATAAAATATTTTTTTCTTGACTCCAGCTTCAAAGATCACATTAGATGATAAAAGATTTAGTGAATTTCGAAAACTAAAATTTGTGTACAAAACATTTTATGAAAATTATTATTACTATTTCAACAAGGTTGCAACCAGATACTACTTGATACAAAAATATAATTCATTATATAGTCCTTCTACTTCTTATAAATAGAATGTACAATACTGTTCCAAAAACATCTGGATTGATATTGACAAAGATAGTTCTCGATTTTCTCATAAGTTAAGAGTAGGAAAACAACTATATGTTGAGACAAATTATTTAAAGAATTTCAAGAGAATATTAATATTTGTGGATGCTGAAACATTTTGTAAATATGGAAAAAGCAGATGCCAGAACTGTAAATCTTACACATATTGTAAGACACAAGAATTTACTTTCTTTGGAAATACAGAATCAGATTGTAAAAAAGTTTTAAAAAAATTAGTTCAACCTTCTGATAATGATTCCTATTTAAGATATAATGTAAATGTCTGTGAATATTGTGATTCATATTTAACAGCGCTTTACCAAGGCCAAAGCTATAATGCTCTTTTAGATAGTGAACAGGTTTTTTCTTCTTTTTCATATTTTAATATATTAAAAAATTGGTTATACTCTTAATTTTTTTTTAAATAAATCATCTACTTAGTTTTGACCAAGTAGATTTTTATTTATGTAATTATGGTTCACATCAACTTATTTCCTAATAAAATATTAATAATGATATTTTACTCATGTTTCAATTCAGAAAAAATTACACTCATGGATGCGTTAATCTCAAACACAATCAAATCAACATGTCGATTTTGATACAAACTTTATATAATGTTATTCAATTTACATGGAACAAAATACATTTTGATCGAACCATTTAACAACTATTTGATAAAACCTTACATATATGTTCCTTTTGTGATTTCTGTTAATTACTCCACATTTATCAAAGATATTTCAGAAGAAAAGCAACTTAAACATATGATTACTGTGAATTATCTAGAAAAAGAAACATGACTTAATCTATTACATTTCGAAAATTCTAAAAATTATTACTCTCTTGTGACTAAAGATGAATTTGAAAGCCTAAAATCTATCTGTGATTTATGTGAATCAAACATTTTCTGTTTCTTGTATAAAATAAAAATTAAATTTAACAGATGTTTAGTAAGAAAATGTAAACAATTACAGTTTATGACTTGGCACTCACATACAGTTTGCCACATGTGTCGAAGCAAGTTTTCAAAGTTGTTGCGTCCTGAACTAATTGATTTCGATTATTGTTTTTAATGACATCATATAAGTTAAAAAATATATAAACCCATATTATTTTCCTTTCTCTCATCAAAAATGGCTTTTGAACTGAATATTGAAATTGGTTCAAACTTATCATTTTGTTTGATTGAATTAGCAAAATTTTTTACATTTTTACTATTTATTGTTTATATAACTTTATTTTTCTTTCATGTTCTCGATTGGTCTAAACATTCTAATTAGTCTTTCAAGACCAATTAGATTCTTCTCTATATAACCTTAATCATTTGGATTTATAAAGGTGAAAGAGCTCCGCACTGTATTTCGTTCAGGAATTCGCTTCTTTTACTTAATACTGACTCTCACTAGGACCAACTATTCATTAATTAATCGATCAACTGACTGACTAATTCACTTTTTTTAGATGCCAAAAGCTAAACCAGGATACTTTGCTGTTTGTAAAGGTCGTAAACCAGGAATATATTTAACTTGGAATGAATGTAATATGCAAGTTAATAAATTCTCTAATAGAATTTATAAAAAATTTGATACATTGATTGAAGCAGAAAAATTCATAAAAAAAAAAGATGAAGTATTTGCTTTAAATAATAATGATTTGCAAGTTTGGACTGATGGTTCAACATTAAATAATGGTACAAAAAATGCTAAAGCAGGTATAAGAGTATTTTGGAAAGATAATGATCCTAATAATTTAAGTAAAAGATTACTAGGATTGGTACAAACAAATAATCATGCAGAAATTTATGCTGTAATACGTGTGATTGAAACTTGTAAAAACAAAAAAAAACCTTTAAAAATTATGACTGATAGTAAACATGTCATTAATATGGTTGAGGAATGGATCGAAAAATAAAAAAAGAATGGTTATATAACTTATAAAAAAGAGCCAGTTAAAAATCAAGATCTAATTAAAAGATTAAAAAAACTTATTGATAATAGAATAGGAACAGTCAAATTAGTTCATGTGCGAGGTTATTTAGATAACTATGAAAATGAACAAGCAGATAAATTAGCTAAACTTGGTTCATTGAAAGAAGTAGTAGAAGAAATTTCTGAATCAGAGACAACTTCTAAATGTATTATTGATTATTTTGACAAAAAATAAATATTTTTTTATTTGCCTTTATTTCATATTTATTACTAAAAGAATTTTGAAAATGAGATTTCGATTAGAAACAATCACAACTTGTTGTAATTGTTTATTATCGAATCGAGGTGTTCAAAATTCTTTTAATAAAAACAATAAACTGAAGAGGAAAGGAGAAAGAGAGAGAGAGCAAATAGGTAGTTTGGTCCCAAATATATTCTATGTTTGATGCGTTTGCTACAACAATTCGAGGCGAGACAGGGTCGTAGCCATATCAATAATGTCAAAGACATCAACGATTCAGAAACCTCGAATCAATGTAAAAACAAATCAAACATTAAATCTAGTTAATTAATAATTAAAGTTTATGAAATGTAATATTTTTTATTAATAAATTATATATATATATATTTTTTTAATTTGTAAAAGTTTGTTAAATTCAAAAAAAACCTAAAATTTGTTTCTGAGATATGACAAAAATGAGATCTTGATTAGAAACAATTCTAACTTGTTGGAATTGTTTATCATCAAATCAAGGCGTTTGTCATATCGACAGAAACAAACTGAGAAAAAAATAATTTGGTTCTTCTAAAGAACAAAAAAAAGTGTAGAGCATCATTCAGAGTAAAGAGCAATTTTTTACAATTTTTCAGGCTGGAACCTGAAAAATTGTCACTAATTACTTCTAATCAGTTTACAAACCTATTAGATTCTTTTTACAGTAACTTTATTGATAATGTTTATATATACAAAAAATCAAACCTGGTTCAGAGAAAACAATGAAACAAATTATCACAGACCACTTTATTATTCTGATGATAATAAGATAATAATTGAAAATATTCAAATTATGTTGCTATCTCATTGGCAGAAGATTATGTTGGATGAAGATCAAAGACCTTTTTTAAAAGAACATGAATTTGTTCTTGATAAAGACAGGAATATTGTTGATAAAGTTAGCAGAGAATATTTACTTAAATTACTTTATCCTGAAGTGAAATTAGCAAACATCAAATTTAAAAACAAATATTCTTTTAATTTACGCAGATGTAATATTAAAATTATCAATTAAATAAATTTATTCTAATCAGTTTCAAACCGATTAGATTTTTTATTATGTAAATTAAAAAAATGTGTAACAAAAATACTAAGCAACTTATTGTAAAGTCACCAACTTTACAAGATCCAAACAATTTTTTTGACAAATATTGGAATGAGCAACATGATTTTTTTATTAATGAAGAAGAGAAAATTTATGTAATTAAAAAAGATGATAATAAAGTTTTGGATATTTTTTCAAAATCTTCATTGAAAAAATATTTAGAATCAAGTAAACAAGATTATAGGTTTAACACTTATCCTTGTTGTAGGAAAATCAAACTTGTTTTTGTGGAAAAGACCAATTTACTTATTAAAGAAACTATCAATCATTGTGATGTCTATAATTCACCTTTCACTAATCAAGTCAAAGAAGATTTTAAAATGAGATTTCTTAATTATGAACATTTATCAAAATTTTTCGATCATTATAGTATTAGTTGTAAATGTGAGATTTATCTTTGTGAACATAAAAAACTTTCAGTTTATAGAAAGAATAAGGTTTTGGATGTTTATCAAGAAAATGATTTATTTTATTTTGTAAATCATTATTTAAGACATGATGTCAACTTCAATCAATGTTTTAATTGTAACAGAATTACTTTAAGTAGAAATAGTGGAATTAATCTTACTTGTAAAACTAAAAAATGCAAATGTATTTCTTAATATTCTAATCAGTTTTAAACCGATTAGATTCTTTACTGTATAAATTAAAATGTTTTCAGAAGAAATCTACTTGTTAATTCTTGAAGAATATGAATACACATCTTTTGATGAAATAAAATCTTTTTTTTTTTTTTTAAATATTAAGGTGAGTACTTGCGACCCAGGATTTTATTGATAGTACATTCAGCTAATGGTT